ACAGCTTTATTTAGTTTTGTCCAATCCAGTGGTTAAAACTACAAATGCAATATTGAATATAAATGATTAGCTGAGATGTACTGATACTGGTATAAAAGTGTTTGGTATTTTACCACGAAATATCTTACCTTTAGACCATTTCCCAAGTTGTGAAAAGTTTCCCATTTCTATTTCACTGAGAGTTTTTCTAACTACTGCGTGTTAAATTTGTCAAATGCATTCTATGTTATCTATTGAGATGGCATGATTTTTCCTTTATGGTAAATCACTTCAGTTGGGTTTTGAATATTTATATCATCTTTTTTTGGCAGAACCAGGGATTGAACTCAAGCCCTTGCACTTGCCAGGGAAGCGCTTATTCCACTGAGCCATCTTCCCGAACTTATATCATCTTGATATGTGTTCTTTTACTATATTGGTAGATTTCATTTGCTAATATTTTAAGGTTTTTTTCTATTTACTTTCATGTCAGATATAGTGTGTGATTTTCTTTACTTGGAAAAAATTTGTCAGGCTTTGTCAGAGATTATGCTACAAATTTTCTCTTTTGCTCTATGTAAAAGAAAACTGTATAAGAATGGCATTATTTAGCCCTAAAATCTTTTGAGAGAAATAATATCTCTTAAAAGAAAAATGGGAACAGAAGTCAGAAATTAGAGATGAAGCCACCTAACCTTGGCAGCTTCTTCATGGGAAGGGTTTTATTAGAAATTCAATTTTTAATATATTCAGATGCTTTTTGGTGTCTGTTTAGGTAATTTGTCTCTCAGAGGATTTAACAATGTTATCTATATTGCCAGTTTTATTGGCCTACATTGTGCCTAACATCTTTTATCTGTAGATATATGTATGATTTATAATGATATTTCTTTCTTTTATAATTTTTCCTCACTTTGATAGTACAAGTTATTTCATTACTTTTTCAGAGAATCAAATGCTGTCTTTATTAACTTCAACCAGGTTTACTTTTGCTCTATGTCACTGATTTTTGCCCTTACGTTCATGACTTCGGTCAATGTACTGTGGTCCAATATCCTTAAGTTCACCTAGCTTCTTAAGGTAGAAACATGGATAACTTGATTTTATGTATTTGTTGTTTTCTAAGAAGGAAAATATTTGAAGCTATAAAATTGCCCCTAAGCACTGCTTTAGTTGCATGTAACAAACTTTCCTATGACTTTATTCAATATTAAAAAATCTCTTCTCAGCCTTTCAAAAATTATTTTTTCTCTCTTCATGTATGTGTTTTTTCATCTCTAATATGAAAGATTATTCTCAGATTTCTTGGTTGAATAACTAAAACCATATTAATTGACTATGGCAGGTAGTTGCCTATCAAATTTCATGGACTTTAACATCTAGTATGTTTTAAGTACATTAAAGTTTCAAAATATTTTCAAAACTAATTTTATTATGAAGATAATGAATTTGGAGCTGCTACTCTGTAACTTTCTCTACGAATATGCAATGCTGCCGAAAGTGAATCATATCCATCAACAACGGCAGATGGAAGCCAACCACAATCATGAAAATATAGAAATGTATTTGGTGCTTATAGCTCCAGAATGACTATAAACTCAACAGATAAACATTCTAAATAATGAACCATATTGAGAAATGAAATAATCTAAACATACGCCTCAAAACGAGTTTCTCTAAAGAGGCCCATGGCATAGTCAGTGATTTAGTAGGCTCTTGTCTGCTCTTCCTTGCATAGAGTTTCAAAAAGCATGTGGAATTTCCTGAGTGATAGAGCTGTTGGATAGACCCCACATTAGCTTCAGGATGGGAGATTCATACAAGGAAGACCAACTCTGTGGCTAGAGAATTGGAACTTGGGATCAGTCTGACACCCTAAGACAAGAGGAAGACAAGTCTCTTTTCTTTCTTCACAAGAAACATAATTTAATCAATCATATTGATGAATGAAGCCCTGATAAATACTCCTGACACTGAAGCTGTGTGCAGTACCCAAGCACACTGCTAGGTTGGGAGGAGGATGCCCAGTATTGCACCTGAGGAAGGCACGGGGCTTCCATATGGGGACCTCTCTGTGTTTTTCCCAAAGCGCCACTTCTACTACTACTGGGTTCAAAATCAACATCCACTTATTACTGTATTTATAACAAGACTGAGAAAACAGCATCCTTCCTAGATTCTGTGGTTTGTGTAGAAATTATCAAATGTGGGATCAGTTGTAAGAGCCCCTGAATGTAATTGGCTGGTGCCTTCCCTACCCTATTTGTGGCTACTGTCCAAGCCAATCTTGTGGGAGACTGAGTCATATCTGGGGTGTGATGCTGCCTTTGAGTGGTTAGCATCACTTTGACATGGTCTTGGCTCTGTCGATCCTTGCCAAAGCAAGAACGTGTCTATGTTATCAGGACATTTGTATTATGGCTCCCCAAACAGAGTGCAGGGCCATGGACAGAACAGGGGCACTGTGCAGGAAATCTTGAAAATAACTGTAGCAGAAAACACTGGCCATTCTCTGGCCCCTGGTTTGTTTTCTTAGTTGATGCTGCTGCTGTATTAGCTAAGCACATGGCCAGCCAGCTAAAAACTGGATTCCTTATCTGAGTCTGCAAATGGACTAAATTCCTAGCAGCAATGTCTGCAGAAGTGTCAGTTTCTCTCCCCTTGTCCTTTACAACATGAAAGACCTTTATGGTCTCTGCTCTTAAGAGCAGCCAATGATTCTAACCTGTTTGCTTCCTTTCCTTCCTGGCCTCTGAGGTCCAAGCTGTGGCTCTCTTTAAAAGCCATATTATACTACATAGGTTGATAATATATTCATCTAAAAGATTAACACATTCTTCCAAAACTGCCAGTGGAAAACACTGAGTCACTGGCTTTGGATCCTGTAAAGAAAGGGCAGACATCATTACTCTCGGTCACCTTGGCCAAAAGCATTTGCACACAGTGAAAGAGGCACCTGTAGGAAAAACTCCTCCATGAGGGCCGTGGTCCACCTGTAGTGCAGCCTCCAGGACTTGGCTGGGTGGCTGATGTCTGCTGCGTGGAGAATCAGGGACATGGTCTTGGCTCTGTCGATCCTGTCAAAGCAAGAACGTGTCTATGTTATCAGGACATGGTAACTAGTTTGTCTTTGCTGAGTCCAAACACACAGAACTTTAGAATGACAAAAGAAAATCGCCTACCCTTCAGGCTGCTGCAAACTGTTCCTTATGTTTTTAATCTGCTGGAAGTGCCCCGACATGTCTGTAGACAACACCATTTCAATCACTAAGTTCCGAAGGTCCCTGCAGAAGCAACAAAAGAAGAACCACATTTGGCCCTTTATTGGTCTCAACTGGAACAGTTCTCTAAATATGCATTGTATTTTTCTGAATGGATAAGAACACAGAAGGTGCTAGTTTTTAAATGTAAAAACACTCACAAAAATAAACATGATTTTGCTTTAGATTCTGATGGATTTAAAAAGTTTCTAGCGGAGTAATCTGTGCATGACGCTATCTCACATTCCCTTGAAGAACAAGAATTTTCTTATGCCATAACTCTTCTTCCAAACTCATAAGTGCTGTCTTTTTTTTCTATCTGAAAGTACCCTTGACCATTTTCAAGCAAAACGACTCTAAATGCATTTTTAAAGTCTCTTATCTATTTAGTATATGTTCCCTTAATTTGGGGAAGTTGGTATATGCTTTGAAAGAGAAGTGTGTAGTTCAGTGGGGCTTCAGAGCACTGGCGATGCAGAGTCAAACTCATAGCTTTCAGGTCTCCGGAAGAGGGTGGCCATGGGTTCCCTTGCTCCTTCCTCGCTTTGCATCTTTTAAATGAAATTATAATTAATGACACCAATTACTGTTTATCCAGGATTCATTCAGTCCAGGCACTAACCTAGAGCTATGCTGCAATGGCTCTGTCTATATATTAAAAGCCCAATCCTCATAACAGCTGGATTTCCCACCCAGAAAACAGAGATGGTGGCTTATTACAGACCTAGTATTCAGCCGAGGTAAATTTCCACCCAAGAGTTCCCACTCCCAAAACCGGCTCCTGCATGACTCTATGGGGTCAAGCTCCCCTTGTAGCAGCCCTGCAGAAGCCGAGGTGCTGAAGCAAGAGAGGGTTCTTTGTTTCAGCTTTTTGGACCTGACCTTATGTAACACTAAAGCTTGAGTATTATTGAAATTTTCAGTCAAGCCACTAAATACAGTGACTAGATCACTAACCCTATGCATGAAATCCCATGCTCACATTAAGGAAAAAAGAAATCATCCCAGCCAAAGCTTATACTGATTACAATGAATTCATTGTTAATTCAGTAGCAATAGGTAAAATATTACTACTCACATAGAAAACCATACTTATCTTCTCTCTGCAGTGTGGCTGAAGGTATTCAGATTCAACCTGACTTTCAGAGACGTGAAAAAGCAAATTCTGCTGTGATTGTAATATTGGGAGGCTTGCTTAGAATGCTTGACCCATATTTGGGTCAAGGCAAGTAAAGCTATTAAAGGTAGTTAATAAAATTATCTTCAGTTAAATTTTGTCTCTGAAGTTATAAGATCCATACTAAAATAGCAGCTGAAGCTGCAACTCTTGTTGCATAGGTCCTGCTTTACCTTGGTAAAGCAGAAAACTATAAAAACGAAGTATAAGAAGTAAAGCCATGCTGTTATATTGAGCTGTAGGGGACTCAGGTCAATGATTTCTGACAGTGTCAGTCAAGTGGAAGACCCAATACTATTATGGACTACTGTACTCTTTTAGAATATTTTGCTGAGTTAACATACCAATAATATTCAAATAACAGAACTTAACAAAAAAGGGGCTACAGATGTATGTCCATTTTGTATCTGTGTATTCAAAGTGGTTAGGATAGATATATAGTTACATTCTCTTAACGAATAGAGGGATTTGTTCTAATGGTGTTTGTAAATAGGATATCATGTCCACATCTTGTACAGCAATTAACCACTAGGAAGAATGTATGCAATGTGTTAATTATTGAAACTGTCTAATCAATTTGGTTTGAAACTCTCTCATTGCTATTTGTTTCTCAAAAAAATTATGGGTAAAAAATAAAATAGCAGCTGAACAAAATGTTGTTTACTGAGGAAAATGAGACTGCAATTTTACAAAATCTATAGAACCTAGTATACTGTGCTCTGTGCATAAGCAGTCAACAAATGTCAGATATTATATCAATAAAGTAGGCAAAACAGTACACAAGGGAAATACTACATATGATTCTTTTCTTTTTGGTACCAAGAATTGAACTCAGGACCTTGTGCTTGTGAGGTAGGCACCGTGCCACTGTGCTATATCCCCATCCGACTTATGATTATTTTCTTCCCAAAGTTTTTATACTAATACATTTATGCTAGTTTAAGAAGTGGTCATGCAAGGAGAAAATCTACAAGTTTTTTAAGATATCCATGTTTTAATTGTCAGTAAAATGTTCACAGGGGACCAGGGAGATAGCTCAGTGGATAAGTGCTTGCATGAGTTCAATCTCTGATTCTGCCCCCCCCCCAAAAAAAAAAATGTTAACAGGACTTTAGAAGCAAATAGATCTTTTGTTAAGTTTTAGGGAAATGTTGACTTTATTAAATTCTAAAATCCATTAATTCTGTAATTCATGTGACATGCATACTATTTGTTAAACAGTTCTATAAAAACATTCAAATAGGATGATTCTGAGAAGTTACAGGAAAGAAATGCACAGCAATAAATTATTACACTAACATGTCATAGAGGGTGAAAAATCAAAACACAGGAAGGAAAATTGTATTGAAATAGCATGAAGTTTAGCTATGAGAAGTAAAAGGGTAATTCAAAGGAATAACAACAAAATTAATATTAAAAGTATTACAGTAAGACTCTGTCTCAAAAGACAATAAAATAAAAATATTACTTCTGACAATGAGAATCACTGATGAAGAAAAAACTAATAATCTACATAAAATAATCACCCTCAGATCTTGGGAACTACAACTGCACTTTGTCAACTTCTACCTTAACCCATCTGGTCACTGATCCCAGCAGTAGCACTGAAATCCTTTTAGCATTAAATCCTAGCTTCCCAGGCTAGAAATCCTCTTCAGAGGACATGAAAGGCTTTAACTATCCTGAAGCAAGTGTCTCTTCCCTCACCTCACAGCACTTTCTCCAGCTCCCAAACTGAGCCCACATTTCTTAAACTTCCCTTCAAAATCCAGACATCAGTGGAAATCTGAAAATGTAGCCATGGCTGGTGAAGGGTTGCTTTGAACAGATTTTGCCTCTTTTGTTTTTATTTTTATTTTTAAAAGGTATTTCTTGATTCCATATCACTTTTCTTTTGATAACTTCTTTTTAACTTGCCAAGGAATAAAAATAAAAACAAAACTGGATACTTCTATTTGAGGAGGAATCTTTTCCAGGTCACTTGCTACAATAAGAACTTTGTGAAAGATAAATATAAGGTTTATTTTTTAAATAAACTATTAAGCACACTATTAGGGACATCCCTACATTGAAGAGACTTTGTGCTTATCTGGCTGAATATTTAACAGGGCATCCTTTGCTTTTTTCTGCTAATGGAAGAAAATGATAACAACCACAGGCTCAGAAGGAAAAGGGTTGTATGGAGTAGGACTAGGTTACTTTTCCATACACAGCAAATAGCATCACCAGACCTTGTAATCTTAAACAGATCCTTAAAGAAGCACGCAGGATCTCCCTCCACACTTGGGCTGCTTTACCACAGTTGTGAACTTTTGTCCCAAATAGTTGAAGGGTCTATTTTATTATTTGAAGCTATATCCCATGTATTTAAAAATAACACAAAAAGTCATAAGCATGATGCTAACATTTTGAGACCACAGATTGGCATCAACTGGCACAAATTGCTAAACTGCAGACAAGAGTATAATTCTGTGTTGTATTTATTGTGTGCGGTGTGGTTTTACACTTGTGTATGGATACTGAACGGACCTGAAACACCTCAGACCCACCAAGCACAACCTGGCTCCTGATCAGAGAATTTTGGACACCAATCTTTCACAGAGTTAACCAGTCAACAATAATTGAGCTTGTAGTACAGTCAACGCATGACATTTCATCTTTTTTCTTTGCTTTAAATCACTTAATGTATCATTTTTCTAAAATTAAACTTTCCTTGAGTTTTCTTGGAAACTCACCTCCAGTCATCTTTGGATAAATTTATTAAGATATTCATTTCTTCTTCCTGCATAAGGCGGTAAGCCGCGCTCACGTGGTGATTCTCCAGGACGGAGCGGTCATTGTACAAAATGGCAACATCTGATCTAAGAAATAAAAACAAAATTGCCAGCACAGCATTTGGTTAGACTTTGCGAGAATAAGACACTTGAATGTCAAGTCAGCCGACCAGTGAAAATCTATAACTGAACATGAAAAATTATGGAAGTAGTTTTGCTCACACTATTTTAAATTTTTTTTGTAGACTTTGTGTTTTAGGGCACCTTCAGGTGAGCAAAATTGCGGAAGATACGGAAGTTTTTGAATAAAATTTAGAATGACATTTGGTACCATGGTAGCATCATACGCAGTAGTTTTAATGCCCTAAAACACCCCTGAATCTACCCCATTTAACCTTTTTGCCTTCAGAACCTGGTACAACTGATACTTTGTTGCCTTTCCGCTTTTGCCTTTTTCAAAATATCATCTGGTTTGACTCACATGTTCTGCTATGGTTGCAGATTGGCTCTTTCAATTATTAATATACATTTAACTCCCTGCGTGTCTTTTTAGGGCTTGACAGCTCATCCTTATCAACACTGATTAATGTTCTATGGCCAGGTTATACCACAATTTATTTATCCATTCACCTACGAAGGGAAGTCTTGGTTGCTTCTAAATTTTGACAATTACAAATAACGCTGCTGTATACATCTGCATGCAGGGTTTTGTGTGTATGATCTGGTAAGTGTAGGTTCAGTTGCATAAGAAACTCTAAAGAGTGCTGGGGAGACAGCTCAGTACAATAAGCACTTGCCTGGCAAGTGCAAGGGCCTAAGTTCAATTCCCGGTTCCACCAAAAACCAAAACCAAACCAAAAGATGTCGAAGTGTTTTTTTTTTTTTGTTTGTTTGTTTTTGTATTGAACAGCAATAAATGAGGATTCCTGTTTTTCCACATCCTCTTAAATGCTGGGTCTTGCAGTGCTCCAGACTTTGGCCCCTCCCAGAGAGATGCGGTATCACACCACCGCTTTAGTCTGTCTCTCCCTGCAGCCCTGTGGCACACATGATATGTCACATACCTCTCTGCTGTCTCTAGATCTTTTTTATTTTTATTTTTTTTGCTGCGATGTTTGACATAATCCTTGACTCTAGCTTTAATCAGGTTATTTTCTCATTATTAAGTTTGAAACATTCTTTCTACATTTGGACATGGTCCTTTTTTAGATATATCCTTGGCAAATATTTTGTTCTTGTCTGGATTATACTTTTATTCTCATAAGCGTATCTTTGGCAGGGCTTGAAATATTTTATTCAGTGAAATCTAGCTTATTTTATGAATTGTACCTCTGGTACTGCATTTAGATTCATCACTAACCTCAAGGTCACCTAGGTTTTCTCCTATGTTATCTTCTAGGAATTTTAGGTCTATGATCAATTTTTTTTTTTTTTTTGTGGTGCTCGAGATTGAAAGATCCTTGATCCATTTCAAGTTAATTTTGTGATGCTGTAAGGTCTGGGCCTGACATATTTTGTGATGCTGTAACAGAGCACTTGACAATGAGTACTTTATTTATAAAGAAAAGTAACTTATTTTGCATGGTTCTGGGAGTCCAGGAAGCCCAAGCCACATAGTGAGCAGCTTCTTGTTACTTTAACACATAGCAGAAGGCATTGAGTGGTGGAAACACATGGATTCCAGGACAGCAAACCTATCCTAAGAGCCTTTTGGTAGTGGCGGAATCTATTCAAAAGGATGGAGTAGTGATGACCTACATGCTTCCAATTAACCTTCACACACACATACCCAACTGTTAAGGATTAAGATTCCAACACATGAATTCCTGGGGACATGTTCAAACCATATAGGCTATGAGTAGAATTTTTTGCACATGGCTGCTGTTTTTCTAATACTTTTATTGAAAAGATTTGCTTTGTTCTGTTTTATTTCCTAAGTGTGTTCATTCCTGGGCTTTCTATCTGATTCCATTTATCAACTTGTCTATTTGTTCACTGCCACCACATTGCCTGCTTCCTGTAGCTCTGTAATTAGTCTTGAAGCCAAGTGCTATCAGTCTTTGTTTTCCTTTAATAGTTTGTTAGCAAATCTGGGTGTTTTACTTCTTGGAAACTTTTTCTGAAAATATACACAAAATAATTTGCTGAGATTCTAACTGGGATTTTGTTGACTCTACAGGTCAAGTTGACAAGAAATGATATCTTGACAAATTTAAGTCATTCTATCCATGAATGTGGGCCATCTATTATTTCTTTCATCAGAGCTTTGTAGTTTTCCTCGCCAGGACTTGTATGTATTTTGTTACATTTATACCTAGTATTTCAATTTAGGGGTGCTAAACTGCTTATTGTTTTCAATTTAAAATTCAACTTTTTCACAGCTGGTATGTAAAGAAGTAAGACACTCAGAATGGGCCATTAACTATAAACCTTGTGTCCTATAATCTTGCTGTAATAAGTTTTTAGTTCCAGGGTATTTTATTGTTATTGATGATGCTGTCCTGGTCATCACTGTTTTGTTGATCCTTTCAGATTTTCTACATTAAAAAATCATATCATCTATAAATGAAAATAGTTTTCTTCCTTTTTTCCAAATCTGCATTGCCTTTCCCCCCTTTCTTGTCTCAGTGCGGTAGTCAGGACATCCAGCAGGATGTTGGAAGTCAGCAGTAAAGAGCAAACATCTTGGCCTCATTCTGATCTCAATGAGAAGCTTTCGAGTTCCTTACCCTTGTGTATGATGCTAGCTGTAAGTTTCTTCATAGTTTTTTAATTTACTTACTTCATTTTTAATTGGCAGTTAAACTTATCTATCATGAGCGACATGATGTTTTGAAATACATACACATTGTGCACTGGCTAGATTTAGTGAATTAACATTATATGTTACAGTACCAAGGATTTTTGTGATTAAAATATTTAAAATCTATATGTTAAGCAATTTTTAAGAATGCAATATGTGGTTGTGAACTGTAGTAAACATGCTAGACAACAGAACTCTTGAAAATTACTCCTCTTCAACTGAAATTTTGCATCATTTGATCAATGCTACCTAACTGCTGCCCACCTCCAGTTCCTGGTCACCACTGTTCTTTGCTATGGGGCATTTATTCTCTATTAAGTAGAGGAAGTTTCCCTCTATTCTTAGCTTACTGAGTTGTTATCATAAGGGAGTGTTAGATTTTATCAAATGCTTTTTCTACATTTATTGACATGATCATATAACTGCTTTCTTTAAGCAGTACTACTATTAAATATAATTAATAGTTCAAATGCTGAACAAGGCTTACATACTTGGAATAATTTCCACTTGGATATGATAATTATTTCCCTTTTGACTACCATAGTTTAAGTATGCTTACTTCTTTTCCTTTCTTTTTGTAATCCAAATATCTGTGAGATACTCTAGGTTTGACAGAAGAAAATAATCTAGATTCAAGCAGTCAGTGATTAAGCCCCTTAATACTAGTGAAGGTAGCCCTCCTTCTTTGGACTAAAATTACTTTGAGTAAGGAGTAGAATGAGAATCTTTGTTCTATTTGTGTTTCTAATTTTTGCTTCCTTTGCCATTTGTGATCAAATATAAAAATTATACATCTCTTTGCTTTAGAAAAAAATTAAGAAAATCATTTATATAAAAAGAAAAAATCATGTATAATCAAAGCTTAAAATATGTTTCACCACCACTGAACATTTAATTTTGAAATAATGAGTTCAGCAAAGGAAGCTTTTTTATTATTGTCTGTATTTTCACATGATGTGACCACTGAATGAACTGCTTCTAGTTTATCCAATAAATCTGATTTACTATGGTGTAGCCTGAAGTCTTTCAAGTACTCTCAGTGGTACCCAACGGAGCCTGTGTAGCTCCATCCTCTGTCTGCCTGGGTTTCAGAGCATGTGCTAGGTGTGGAATGGAAACAGAACCGCTGTGCTCAAGCTATTCGAATGAAAACCCAGTTGAAAGAAGAAGCAGGCAGCAAAGATGCACAGCAAGAGGGAAGTCAAGTTAAAGCCTGCAGCAACTGCACCCACATCACCTACAGCCAAGCCTGGCGCCCCTTCCCCGCAAGTCCATTTGCTGTCAGGTGTAAAACTGCTCCACTCAAAAGCCATTGTCCCACTCGCAGCAGATTGGTGAGTTAGGGAGACCTTGTCTCAGAACAAAAGAGGCTGGAGACACAGCTCAGTGCAAAGTCACTGAGCGCAGCCCGCGGTGTGGAGGCAGGGGCTGTTCCAGGTTGTAATGTGTAGAGTCCTTGTTATAAGTTAGTTCTCCCCCGCCACTGATTTTTCACTGAGGAGCAGGCAAGGACAAAATAAAGAACAAAAGTTGCCACTAGAACAAAATGGGCAGCTATGTATCTGTTAACTATTGCAACTGCTTTACTGTCTGTCTATCATAAATATGTATCTATATATCACATAATATGTCATACACCATATATACATATACATATATATATATATATATATATATTATGTTGAATTTAACGCAAGCCTTGTTCTGTGTTCTAATAGTTTTATAGAAAAAGTAAAGAAATATGATGTCTCCTGTCAGCATTCTATTCAAGATCTGTAACTGATAGTCTACCAGCTGAACCAAGCTTTGATATCAATCCAACATAAGAAATGATCAATTAGGCACTAGACTAATTTCTATCTTTTATCTTTTGATTTCTAACACTACGGTAAAGGTGAAATAACACGTGTATTTGTTTAATCATGTATCACTACAACATAGATTTTTTTCTCAGTATACTTAAGGCCTAAATAACCATCACTGCTAATCATAATCATGCCTTGACATAGAGGAAAATAACGTAGGAAAGTTTATATATGTATCCCTTATCTAAAGGATAACTAAATAGATCTCTTGCTTGAACAAAAGGCTGTGGCATCTGTGTCTTCCAACCTTTGCTGAAACTCTAGTGAAAACTAACTTCAGTCATTTCATTTGTATCACATGGACCGACCCTAGCTACTCCGTGCTTGTTAGGGCCAGCACCTGGCGTGTCAGAGCAATTCTTAGTGTGCACCACTGTCTTTGCTTTCAGAAATAAGCAGAAGTGGGCTGAGCCAGGTCC